GCTCCCCTGTCAACTTCCATGATTGTTGGAGGGAGGGTAAGCCGAGTTATAAAACTGTTGTGACCGCTGAACATCCAACGATATCTGGACATCAAACTACACTTTCTGTGGCACTGAAATAGGCAACCTCTGTAAAAGGCAGAAAGCGGCAACCTGAATCCCAATTTGGCCAGACAAAAAAAAAGAGAGACTCTTCTTGAGCTTGAGGTTGATTTTGGACCACCCGCAGACCTCGTTTGGAACCCGCATAGAACCCGTAAAGAAGCCATATAGAACCCCTCTCGAACCCGTAAAGAAGCCATATGGAACCCGAAACCCGCCGTAGAACCCGCCTAGCCCAAGGAAAACCACGTAGGAGCCCCCGAAGAGAACCCGTAGAACCCGTCTTCAGCCCTGGTCGCAGTCCCCGGAGACCAAGGCCAGCTGGTGGAAGTTGGGCAGGTTCAGGCGCGGCGCCAGGAAACGCCTCGGAACGGCGTGGACCGGTTTTTTTTTGTTGGACATCGGCGGGTGTCTCTTTGGGATGTTAATAAAAGTTGGACATCGGTAAAAAAAGGGGGTGTCTTTATTGGACATCGGTAAGTCCTCGACTTCCATTTGGCCAAACTTTTGGAAAATATATGTTCCCAGTGAACAGGGTTGGCCGTTTCCAGTGAAATGAACCGCCTCCCTTGAACAGGGTTCTACACTTCCGGGGGGGGCTGCTGATCTTTTTTGGGGTACTTCTTTCCAAATATCCGTGGTGAGTCCAACCTCTTGATAAAACGAACGAAATAGGTCCAATTGCGGATATTGATGTGCGAAACTTCGGCTACAGTGGGAAATCGGTGGGGGCAGGGGTGCGGGATCATGTCTGGTGGTTTTCCCTGTGGCTTCCTCTTAAAGCCCACCAAACACAAACCGGGGCTCGGGCAATCGTTCGGCCGTTTCTGTTATTCGGGGTTCTGGGCTCCGTCGTCTTTTGCGATACCCCCGGTGTTTTGCGGCTTTAACGGAATACCAAGAGAAAAACCCGCCTTTTTTTAGGAACCCTGAACAAAAACGACACACCCAGGCAACTTCCCTTTGCCTTTACGTCCCCTGAAAACAAATGAGAACATCTTTCCTCTGATGGATTCCTTTTAAAAACCCACAGGGGGGGGGAAGAAACAAACATCTTACGCAAATGCAAGTCCAAAGAACGGCACCGACCGCGCCTCAGCGCGTCGAGGAAGGGCACGGACTCCCGAAGGCCCTGCCTCGTGGATCCGCTCCCATTTTCTTGGTTGCTGTTGACCCTGCAAAAAGCTTAACTTCTTGGGGCTTAGTGGCAAACCCCACTTGATTTCAACCAAAAAGTTGAAGTCTAAAGATCCCGCCCAGCAGTCGAGTTTTGCGCGCATCGAATTGGCATTGCTCAATTCAGCGTTGACCCCATATCATAACCTGTTTATTTTCCCTGGGTGAATTGTGGTTGGAATCAGGCTCTTGGAGGGGAACACCCAATTAATAAACAGGTTGGCAGTTCATACTGTGGATGGACGAAATCCAGTTCGCACCACTTTAAAACCATGGCAAACCATTGTTCGTTGGTATTTCTTAGGTGGTGCAGGATTTCGTCCATCCACAGTAGGGGGGGTTCCCCTCCAACAGTGGGGCCCCTATTAATAAACAGGGGTTGATTCATGTGGGGTCAACATTGAGATCACCCTGTCGTACTGGCGATGGGGGGGCCGGTGGAGTGGGCGGGGAATGGGGGGTATGAAATCTATTTCGCACGATGGTTGAAACCATAACGTTTGTTGGTGCTTACATTGGGTAATCGAATCATGCCAAAGTTTCGTAGCTGGTGCGAAATGGATCTCGTCCATCTACAGTATGGAACCCACCGGCTCCCTAAGAATAGCAATTGTGGTCCAACGAAACGTAAAAGGCTCCATGGACAGGAGCGTACATGGTTTCCCCAAATCAGCTGGGACAAGCTCAAACTTGGGCCCATGATGGGGAAACGTTCAAAACTTGAAGTCAACAGGTAAGGGTTTCCAAAATGGTGGAACCCTTTCTTGCTGTTTTTCCCTAGTGAAAAAGCACAAAAGGAACTCTTTCATGTTGGGGGACTGGTTCTTACAGTATTTGGGCGCGGCTTCAACTGCGGGTCCAACAAAAACAGGATTCGCTTCCGTCCGCCTCTGAACCTATCAAGGGTTTTGAGGTTCTGGGGGTTCCCATTCATACCACACTTCCAACCCCGAACTCCGACACCAGAACCATACATTGATGATACCCTGAAGGACCCCCCCCCCCAGGGACCAACCCAGTCATTCCGGCCCTCGGATCGAAGGGAGACGCAAAAGACACCAATCAGGGCTCCACTTTTTGGGCCGGAAGGTAGACTTTAACCGTTGACGCTTCTCGAACCCTGAAACCAACCAAGTCTCTATCCTTCTGGGCTCGCGTTCCGATTTTGGGTCCTTGGTACTACCGCCCGGGCCAATCGTTCCCCGCTCCAGTGCTTGGAACTTACCAGTATTTCTCGGTTGCCCGAAGGCCAAAGGACACAGCAATAACAGGTTCACCCTTGACGAACATAAACATGCTGAGGGGAAACCAAAAAAATCGCAGAGGCCAGATCAAACCGTATCTAAGCTAAGACCCCTTAGCTTTCAGCTATTAGGGAAAATATAATCATAACATAGTTTAAATATTAAACAAACAAACAACAAACTAAACAATAAATAAATAACATAAAAGGCGAATTCGCTTTGATGGATTTCCCCGTTTTACAAACCCTGGATTTCCCTGGTGACGGGCTGGACTCACTGGGATCTTGGGGTATTTTGTCGGGCCTTGGGCTCCGTCATGGCTTGCACCGGTGCCATGGCTTGCACCGGGGGTGTTTTATTTGGGGTTACCCATGCTGTGGGTGGACGAAATCCATTTCGCACCACCTAAGACACCCTGGAATGATGTTTCCCCGGTAAGCACCAGCAAACAATGGTTTCCCATGGTTTCAATGTGGTGGATATCGTCCATCCACAGTATGACATGTTTGCCCCAAGCAAAATGAGCCCCAAAACATGGGTCAAGCAAGTGATCAACACAGAGGATCCCATAAAAAGCAAACATGCTGATCTAAGGTGGTCCCCACTTAACCGACCCCACTGAGCCCCAGGTAGGATTTGTCCAGCCACTGAAGAGTATATACCCCAATTTGGGCTAGATTCATCAGGCAGTGGCTCAAAATTTAAGAGCCGGGGTTACGCAGGTTTTGGTCCATGTTTCCACTTACCAGGGTTCCATTTTGGTACCGGTTTTTTGAGCCATACCCATCAAGGTTCTGCAATATTCCCAGGCAAAATGACCCCTACCAAGGGACACCCACCTTTTGCTGGGTCAAGCAGGTCATGTTGCAAGCCAAGGGAATTCTAAGGCTCCCTGTTCATCTACAACAGATGAGCCACGATCAATGCTCATTGTGTCCCCAACCTAGATTAGATTTGGCGAGCAACCCCCACTTCCTCATGGTAACTTGGGGCTCGTGTGTCTCATGCCAAGTCCTTCGCCGTAGATGGCAGAACATACTGACATGCATTTGATTCAGTCTTCCCCCCCCCCGCCGAAACAAAAAAAAAACAAAGAATACTACAAACAAACCCCCCCCCCCCGCCCAAAAAAACAAAGAAAACTACAAACAAAACAACAGCATGTCCAGTAGTGATAGGTTCCCTTTGGAACCGACAGGGGTGAAAATGGAGAAAATGGTTCATTTGGGTGTGGGTCAAAATAAACCCATCAAAAGTCCGCAGGTAAGAGTCCCTGTTTCACCAGGCTTCCATGTGCCATTTTGGGTAGACCCACAACCATTTAACCCTGGTAAGTGGAAACATGGACCAAAACCTGCGGTTTGCCCCTCCTGGTAAATTTTGACCCGCACCCATTTTAGCCAAATGGAAGTTGGCGGTTGCTCTAGACTCTGTGGCCGAGGCACTGCTCCTCCCACCATCGAGCGAACTCATCCTCCGGTAGCACCTCCTCCCCGGTGACGCTGCGAACACACCCCATGGCGCGAAGTCGCGGCCGAGTGAGGCTCAGGGAGGGTTTACTCGCTCCAAGAAAGTCACGCTGAAAGGTCCTCGAACATTGACGTCCAGACTGGGCCGTCCTCAAAAGCCATGGCGGAAAGCTTAACTTTTGGTGAATGGAAACTACTTCTACTAAAACTAAAAAACAAAACACGGCGATGGTTGGAAACTCAGGTGAGACGATAGGGACAGGGAACCGGCTTGAACTTCCAGCTATGGTGATCCGAGGATCTTTGGGCAGCACGGTGCCGGTAAACGCCTTCCCGAAGTCCGGACTCGAGCCGATTTTGTTTTGGTCGCGGGCCGGGCCTTGCCAGCCACTTGGATCCAGCTTCCCTCGGCCCTCCAGATTTGAGAGGTTAGAATAAGTTGGTACCATTTTTTTTTCGGTTTTGCCTATTTTAATAGAACCCGCCCAACCAAAAAAGGGGTGAGAAAGGGCACTACTGGAAGACCTAGCCTCTAATTGGCACTTTGGATTCGAAAAATTTGAAGCTCTGACCTGCGCAAGCAGGCCTTGTGTTTCGCTTCCCGAAGCCCCATTCTCCCCATTCCACCCCCCATTCCCTGGCTCCCTACTTCCTGAGTGGAAGATCCAAACAAAGTCTGAACTTAGGCTGTACCACTCAAGTCTTCACAAACTCAGGAAGTGAGCCAGCCAGACGCCAACTTACAGCCAACTTAGCCAGAAGGGGGGAACCAAAGGAGCTGCCGGTTCGTGTCCCGACGCACGTTTTGATTTACTGACAGCCAGTGAAAGAACCTACCTTGGGCCGTGAAAAATACGGGAAAAAAGAACACATAAAACGACATATACCCCTCTTAAGACCAACAGGGGAATACAAACAATACTCCCTGCAGAGAAAAGGAAGCAGTCTGAAAGCCACCCACTTCAGCGACGCGGACTGGAGCGATTCGCGGATTCGCCGAGGACCCCGCGGCCAGCAAGCGGACACTTTCCAGCTGCTGCTGGACCTCTCGAATCTCTGAGGCCTCGCCGGAGGTCATCCGGGGTTCGGATTCGATCCAAGGGAATCTTGCTGGGTGCGATAGGCAGGGAATGAGAAATGGAATGACCCCGATAAAAAACCATCCAGCTGGTGGCTTCCTTTAAATGAATCCCCAGGTTAATTCCCTCATGTCCTACTGAGCACCAGCAAGGATAATACCAACCAACGTTGTGGCTTCGGCCCCATGGTTTCAACATTTCGTCCACCAGACAGATGTCGGAAGTTGATTCTCCCCTGTCGGCTGTAAAGATCTATCACTCTGGAAAACGGGGAGAAGAACCGGGGAAAATCATGACAAGCGCATCCAAACCGGCTTCTAGACGGATGGCCCTACATATTGGAAGTAAACAAAACATACAAAGAAGAACAAAACACAACAACACTGGGCTGTCCGTTTTCAGATCTCCCGCTAGCCGCTAAACGTTTAACTTGTTGGTTAACCAGAAAACCCACTAAGCCAACCAACACCTAACCAACTAAGAAGGATGGCTGGGAACCACCAAGAAAAACATGGTAAAGAACGCCGCGCATTGTGTGGGGGGGGATCCTTGTTCCCTTTGCGCTCTTTGTCCGTCAGGTGCTACCAGCCTCGCCTCCTTCGGAGGCGGAGGCGGAGGCACGGCCGCGGCCGATTTCTGAAGGCGGCGTTCCTTGGCCAAAGGCCATGGTGACCGTGCAAAAGTTGCTGGCGCTCAGTAGGGAATGGCGCTCAGTAGGAAGTGAGAAATGGAATGACCCCAATTTCAACCCTCCAACTGGTGGCTTCCTTTAAGGGAATCCCTGGGTTCACCCCCAAATTTCCTGAGCACAAGCAAAACAAGCTTTTCTTGCTGGTGGTACTTGTTTGGTTTGAAAAAAAAAGGAGCACACATCTTTTCTCAGCTTCCCTCTGATGGTGAGCCCGACTTGGTGAGGAAGTCGGTGGTTTCCCATTTGCCCTGCGCCAGGGGTTGCAAGCTCTGGGGTTGCGAGATGGCTCCGAGGCGCTGTCGGGATGCCACCGGACCTGCCGCCATTCAGTAAAACTGAGGTCAGCTTGTTGGCACCTGGACTCGTTGCCACCTTTTGCCTGGACTCGTTGCCACCTTTTGCCTGGACTTGTTGGCACCTTTTGCCTGGACTTGTTGGCACCTTTTGCCTGGACTTGTTGGCACCTTTTGCCTGGACTTGTTGGCAGCTTTTGCCTGGGCTTGTTGGCAGCTTTTGGCCAACGTGTTGCCACCTTTGGGCACCTGTTGTTCTTGGTTGGCGTTGGACGCGGAGCAAAAATCTAAATTTTAGCAGTTCAGTGGGGGTTTCTCACTACACCACAATCAGCAAAAATGCAAAGTGTGTCCCAACAACCACCATGTGGAGACCGAATCAGCGAATCGAAGCCAAAAGGCGACAAACTCGCTTCGCTCGACTCGTTGCAAGTGGTTGGATAAAGCTCCAAGCTTCCAGCTCCTCCCGGAAGTCGTGGATGAGTTGCAGCCGCTCCTGTCGTTCGAGTTGAAAACACAAACAAAAAACGGCCAACCGAGAAAAACCAAGGGGTGGACACACACACACACACACCAAAAACAATAAGAATAGCCAACCAAGAAAAAACAGGCTTGGTTTCCACCTCGCGGGGGTGAGAAGGTGCTCAAAGTCTTGGATGTCCCAAATGGGAGGCAAAACGTCCACTCTAAAAATAATTGCATTTGCTTCGTCCCCTGGGAAGAAAGGAGAACATATTCCATGTCTGAAATCAAATCCCGTTAAAACCAACAGGGGGACATAAGACAATGGAAGAAAATGGGACCCAATTGAAGTTTGTGTTTCGAATCAACCCTGGGGTTCATCCGTCGGAGAACCCAGGAGACATCCCCTAAGTGCTGCATGGATATGTCCATCCAGCGGCGAGCAGTGCCCCTCCTGCTGCAGCAACTCGCTGCTGGCGCCATAGTTCTCTGCCACGGCCACTTCCTCACTTGCCGCTGCTTGGCATGAGCCATGGTACGGATCGGCCACGGATCGGATGCCCAACCATCAACCAGGGAGCCGCTTCCTCTTGGCCACTTGCATGCGGGCTTTTTTCCTTGAGCTGGTTGAGGGCAGGTTCTGGATCACCACGGAATAAAACCAACAGAACCCATAACGTCTGTTGGTAGTTGCAGGGGAAGCGAAACATTCCAGGGTTTCTTAGGTGGTAGTGGTGCGAAATGGATTTCGTCTATCCGGCAGGAACCTTCATTCACGGGCCAACGCCATTGAGGTCGCCAACAGCAGTCTTGCGAAGGGAGTGAATTCTGTAGCAATCAGAAGGAGAGGTTGGGTGTAGGTATCACGAAAACTCGTGTGGCCCTGTTGCCTTGCTTCCTTACTCGCCATGTCCGCCGACATTGCTCGGCGTGTCGGACACCTAAGAGAGGATAGAGGATAACCCCCCCCCCTCCCGACGTCTGATACGTGGGGGGGGGGGGCCCCCCCCCCCCAAGGACCGCGCGGCAATTTGATGACGTTCCACTAAACGTAGTCTTCGGGGACCCGGTGTCGCAAAACAGGGGTCCCAGGCTCGATTCCCCCTGCCGGCTTTTTTGCTGGCTTGGGCTTCCTGCATCCTTTTGCCGAAAATCTGGAAAAACTCTGTGTTTTTGGACATCATCTTTGCGAAAACGCTGGAAAAACAGTGTTTTTTGCGGGAAATACTGGGGAGCAAAGGGGAAGTGCAAGGATACATACATACATACAGACATACATACAGACAGACATACAGACAGACATTACATACATACATTACATACAAACATTACATTACATTACATTACATTACATTACATTACATTACATTACATTACATTACATACATTACATACATACATACATACATACATACATACATACATACATACATTACATTACATTACATTACATTACATTACATTACATTACATTACATTACATTACATTACATTACATTACATTACATACATACATACATACATACATACATACATACATACATACATACATACATATACATACATACATACATACATACATACATACATACATACATACATACATACATACATGCATTACATACATACACATACATACATACATACATACATACATACATACATACATACATACATACATACATACATACATACATACATACATACATACATACATACATACATACATACATACATACATACATACATACATTACATACATACATACATACATACATACATACATACATACATACATACATACATACATACATACATACATACATACATACATACATACATACATACATACATACATACATACATACATACATTACATACATACATTACATTACATTACATTACATTACATTACATTACATTACATTACATTACATTACATTACATACATTACATTACATTACATTACATTACATTACATACATTACATTACATACATTACATTACATTACATTACACACACATACATACATACATACATACATACATACATACATACATACATACATACATACATATACACCATACATACATACATACATACATACATACATACATACATACATACATACATACATACATACATACATACATACATACATACATACATACATACATACATACATACATACATACATACATACATACATACATACATACATACATACATACATACATACATACATACATACATACATACATACATACATACATACATACATACATACATACATACATACATACATACATACATACATACATACATACATACATACATACATACATACATACATACATACATACATACATACATACATACATACATACATACATACATACATACATACATACATACATACATACATACATACATACATACATACATACATACATACGAGAGAGGGAGATTGGGGAGAGAGTGGCTTGGGGGGATGGGGAGGATGGGGAGCGGAGGGAGGGAGAGAGGACGACAGAACACACCAGGGAGACAAGGGAGAGAGGAAGAAGGAGAAAAGGGAGAGGACAATGTCGGCGGACTGAGCCGGAGGCTCTAAAGTTTAGGGCATCCAGCGTTCTTACCTTCAGGAAAACGGGAGGGGCTGCCGGGGTCCCCCAATTCAACGTGCGTAGGCTTGAATTAGGTGCGCAGCCTTGAATTGGGAACCTTCCAATTTCCCGGGTTCAAATCCAATTCCAGACCAGCCATCCAAGCCACCACCTGAGGAGTATCGGAACCCCAGTGCTTTGCCGACCTCTTGCCACCAGAACTTTTGCCAGTTAAAATCCCTGGAGCCGCCAAGGATCGGCAAAAGGCCCTGGTAGCCACAATGTCAGTACCAAGCTCGCTGGAAACCCCATGATTCTATGAGGCGATCATAAAGGGGCTGAAGGCAAAGAAAAGAAGAAACAAACGGAACTTGACCCTAGTTTTGGTGGGCATTTGAATTTGGCAATGCAAAATTACCTGGGGCTGCCTTTCCTGTAGCTGCCCCAGACTCAACATGGACCAAAATGGGGAAGGCAAAGCTGAGCTGTCCTCGGATCCAATGCTAAAAGTTTAACTTGTGGCGCAAAATGGAAACCCAACCCCCCCAAAAAAAACGACCCGGACGGCTGGGAACCGCCAAGAAGAGCTTATTCAATTTGCTGCTGGGTTCTGTGATTCGCCGCTAAGCTTTTGGACCCCCTCAAAATGGTCCCTTTGCTTGGTATTTTCAGGGTTAGGCAAGTGTGTGGAAAAGGTCCCAATCTGTTTGTTCGCCACAAGAATGGCAACCAAACTCAAAACTCGCCGAGTAAACTGAATTGGCAAAAAAAAAACAAACAAAAAAACGGATGCCCCTGCACTTTTGTAGCCTCGCCACTAAACTGGCAGCCCCAAAAAGCGGCGAAAGCTCCCAGAACTGTCCAAAAAGCGCCCACGGAGCTCCGCAAAACGCCCGGGCGAGGCGCCACATCCTTCCGCATCTCGCTCATCATCCGCTGGGTTGCGCCCTGGCCCTGCGGAGGCGCAAGGCTCGAGGCTTTTTTAGGAAGCCCGCGCTGCGAAGATAGGAAGAAAATAAACGTACTGAGCATAGGCGGCCTCTTGGTTAAAAATTGATTCGGGTTTCCCTGGGAAATGGGGCAGAAACCCGATCTAAGCCAGGGATCGCCCCCTATTTTTTAAGCCAACCAACCAAAAAGGACACTTATGGTACTGAGGCAGACATACGCTCAGGCGTGTCCCAAGAGTGCAATGCGAGTTCAGGGTGCGATTGGTTCACTGGTGCCCAAACGGCTATCGCGTTTCGCTGCGCCCTTCATTGGTGCCCGAGCCAAGATATCTGTCGCTGAAAGTTGTGTTGAGGCTTGTCCCAAGATACCAGCTGCAAACCAGACGGGAAACTGAGACTATTGGACTTTAGTCACTTTTTGGGGTTGGCATTTTAGTGGCAAATCACAAAGTTGAGTGGCAAAAGGGAAACTGAGACTGGCCTCATTTACAATCCTTCATTGTCACCCCCTAAGAGGTGCAAGGGAAACAACTCCCGTTTCTGGCGTTGTGTTTGACCACAGAAAAGAGTCAAAATAATGACCCCAGTGAGACTCTCGGATCATCCACGGGAAAGGATGTGGTTTTCAAGTTGGAATCGATTTCACTAATGGGGAAATCCAGCGACCCCTGTCAGTTTCCCTCTTTCAGCTTCCTTCCATTTGGCGGAGGTGAAGGATATGTTAAAAAAGAAAACAACTTTGATAATGTGATTACGTTGGAACCTTTAACAAAGACTTGCCCAACTTAGAAGGAGAAGTCGTAACAGAGCGGTGGGAAACCCCATTTACCCTGTACCAAAGCCAAGGGTTCAAATCTAAACCACCAATCCAAACCACCGACTAAGGGCAATCTGAAAGGCACCCTCTAAGCTCCAAACAGAAAGGCACACCTAAGTGGGTCTGCCCCTCTTTGGAGGCTACGACTTGCTTCTTGATAGAAAGGGAAATCAGAAGCCGCCCCAGCATTTTTGGGGCGCCTCCTAAACTTACTTCCTGAGTGGCCCGAACAAAGTCCCGGCAGTGTTTACCACTAAAATGGCACCAAAAGTGATTGAAGTCCGAAACGGAACTCAGGAAGCGAGATTTGCTCAAGCTGCATGGAACAATGAGGACGCATATCCTTTGGCTTGGGCTTTTAACCGAAACCAAAAGGACACCCATTCTGTTTTTATGGGGCGCTTCCTGATTCTGGCGGGGTCGCTGGATTTTCCCAAATCAAAGGTTGATCAACTTGCTGGTGGTTTCCGCTAAAACGATCACCACCCTGGAGGTTCCCAAAAGGTGAAATGGCTCGGCAGAGGTTGGTCAAGCAACCGGTTCAAACACCTTTAACCAAAGGGTTTGAACCAAAAAAACCTGGTTTCATGTCACGTGGGCCTGTTGTTGTTTGCGCGTAATTACTCTGGTTTTTTTTTTCCCGCTTGTCTCGGGGAAATGCGAGGAACAAAAACAAGTCCCCATTTGCCAGGCTCCCCCAATTTATCGCCACGCCAGGATGAATTGGTTTTCAGCCCCGTTTTCCAGGGCTATTGGAGGGCCCTGAATCCACGGAGGGTGTCATCCCTCTCTCCTTCACCATGCGGATCTCGACCTCCGCCTGCGGGGGGGGGGGGGCGGGGTGGAGGGAAAGCACTTGCGCATGTAAAATAGGAGACCCTCAACCCTCAAAATGGATCTCTTTCGGGCTGGTACCCTTCTTCTTTTAGGTGGTTGTAATTTCTCTAAGGGAAACCAGAAGGAAAGCCACCTATTTTTGGGGGTCCTATGGGGCCGACCAACACTTCAACACATGTCTGAGCCTTCGGGCTCGGATCCAGCTGCATGGTTGGCATGCGCCAAGCCATGCAAGGAAAAAGAAAAAGGGGAAAAACAACATGGAAACAAAGACGCGCTGGCTGCGAAAAGAGGACCAACATCCTCAACAACCTCATCCAGGCCAACCAAATATGTACATATTTATAGATCTATGTATATGTATAAACATACATATATGTTTTCCAACACTTGCAGTTTGCTTTAGTGGTGTCCGTTGAAACGATCGCCCCCTTTGAAGGCTCCAGAAAGCGAGACGGAGGAAACCCTGTTTCGTGTGGATTGCGTTTTACCCTCCCCAAAAGCCAGGGGTCAATTCCAAATCCAAACCACCAACCAAGGGTCTCAAACGGCCTGGGGTTCCTTTCGACACGCTTCACCCCAGGGGAAAACCAGCCATCGCCTTGAGCTGTCGCAACTCCTCTCCAAGCCGCTGCGTGGCCTGACGAAAGGTTTGGATCGTTTCGCTGGCTCTATGGGAGGGCCATGGTGGTCGCAACAACTTGACTGACGTTGGAAAGGAAGCAAACATTTACAACTTGAGCAGCTAAGTGGTTGGGTTCCAACCACTAAGCCACAATAAGCAAAATTGCAAAATGTTTCCCAACCACAACCATGACAACGCTTCGCCCAGAAACGGTCCTCAGAAAGGCGCCACCGTTCAGAAATGCTGGAATGATTCGGCTCCCTAAATACCAAGAAACGGTACGGTGTCCGTTGGCTCCAAAGTGGTGTGAATCGATGTCGTGCATTTTTGTGCATCCAGCCCTTTGATTTTGAGCCAGTGTCTAGGCAAGACCCATTTTGGCACTGTACTTTTTTGAGGAAACCTCCCAAAATGGATTTTGGTTGTCCTTGTGGTTCCCTTGCAACAACCCCAAAAGTGTATCCTCCAAAAAAGACCCGCTCATTTTGGTTGCGCCAATTTGCTCCAAAAAAACCCAGCGGAACTGGGTTCTGAGAGCTGCCCCAACCAGAAAGTAGTCCTCAAAAAAACCTCAGTGTCAGCTTCCATGATTCTTGGGGGGCTAGCCCTTTTCGGGTGGCTGTGACGGAAGCTGGACCAGACCCTCGCCGATCAGCACCGCTCGGGGATGAGTGCTTTAACCAATCATAATGGGGTTCATCCAATGGGCGCGACGCATTTTTTTGCCCTTCCAGAGGACCAGTTGGTCTAATGTTGACCCAGGATGAATAAACCTGTCCCATCACTAGGGTGGTGTTCCCTCCAAAAGTGATCTGAATCCCCACTAAAAGGAATTGGACACCCCCCAATCAAAATCAACCAGGGGTTCTTCTTAATCCGGGGTTAACATTACTTGGCATTTGCGTCTGCTTTTCTGGTATTTGTGTTTTGGGTTTCTTGGCTGCAAAACAAACATTTCGTGTCCATGGCACGTGGGGGACAACGCGGATGGGTCAGAAAAGCCTCCGAACTTGGTAGCCACGAAAGTCCACCAACCGGGGAGCCTGGCATACCCAAACAACTCCTTTTTTTCACAGGGTACCCTCAAAAACTTGGGGCTCTGTCTAATCCAACCCTAAACCTGTTCTCAGCTTCCCCCTAATCGATGGTTTCTATTGGTGGTTTGGTGATTTGAACCAGTGCTGTTGTTCTCCATGTTTGCAAAAGCAGGCAACAAAGGCACACCAAAAAAGAACAAAGAACTGTCTCAACATGGTAGATTAAATGTCACGAAAATCCGGGCCAATCCCCTGCAAACAGTGAACGCAGCTTTCAACTTCACAGGGAAAACCCAGTAAACCAAACAACCAGATAATGTCAAACGTGTAAGCTGAATCGGGCTCTGAAGCAAATCTTTAGGGTATCTGGGGCGACCGAGGCGCGCTCTGCTGCTGCAAGCTCAGGTTGTCCACCTTGTGCTTCATCTCCTCCATCGCCAGTTCACCCATGGAGTGCTTCTTCTCGATCCTGGGCCCGAGGGTTCGCTCTCTGACGTCACGCAAAGGAAAGAAAGAGATACGTCACTCGCCTTGTTCCCTCTTGGCTAAACTAAAAGCAACTACGGTTGCTTTATGTATATACCTGAAACCTTCGTGTTGATGTTGTTCGCTTGGCCCCTGCAGGGGAACAAATACGGACAACGCGGCATTCACAGCATAGAGCACACGGCAGGGCGCTTCAGCTCCAACTCCCTGCGCAAGTCCTCGCCCGTGCGCTGAAACGACGAGGCCTTCGCGTCCCACTCCTGGCGAGAACCGAAGGGAGTGACACGAGCGAGGGTGGAAGCTGGGGAGGGTCTAGATCTAGGGTCTAGGGGTCTAGGGGTCTAGGGTCTGGGGTCTGGGATTCCAGAAGGAAGGAAGCAGCAAAAGTTGCACGGTTGATGCTCTTTTGATTCTGCTTCTCTGAAATTCTTGGGGTGATTCTAGCTTTCTCATTCCCTGCATCTCTCGCCACCAGCAAGGCTTGTCAGAGGGGCGTGGACCTCCTCTGACTCTGGGGGGAAAGGCTTGTTTTGGGTTGAAACCAGTTGTCACTCTGCCCCTTTGCGGGGCCTAGAGATTGAAGGCGAGCAACGTGGGGCCAAATTCGGTTGCCAAAAATTATTGGAGGACTGTACTAGTCAACTGCTAAGGACATCGTATATTTTCGAGGATTCATTTAATAGTAGGGTCTCCCAAATGAATCCGAGGTTGGCACTACCAAGTGTCAACCCTGTCGTAACCCCTTAAGGATCTTGCGGATGGTCGAACATGAAGCACTGCTCGCAAACGGCCCAAGTGCTGAGCACCTTCCAGGGTCTCTCCATAACAGTACTCCCAGGCGTCAAACCATGTCAGCCGACCAAGGAGAACACCCTGGAGCCTTGAAGGGTTTTAACAGGAACCGATTCGATGGATCAGGCCTGCATCACAATGAGCCTATGATAATTAGATTGGGGGTTGGCCGGCGTGCCCTTGACAATCCCAGGGCTTCCAGGCCGGCCACGAGAAAGCAGGTAACCAGGGAACACCACTACGTAGAACCAGGAGGTAAACCACACCTGATTACCTGCTACAGTGGCTTGCCTGGAAGTACTGGGATAATTACTTCCCGGGCGGTTTAGCTAAAACAAGTCCCAAAACTGTTTTGTTACTAACATGGTCCCAAGCCAAAAACAAGTGTCTAGAGCCCAGGAATGCAAGCAAGGATAGGGCATGATGCTGCGGATGGACGAAATCCTGCACCACCTAAGAAACCCTGTAAATACCAACCAACAATGCTGTCTCATGGTTTCCAAGTGGTGCAAAATGGATTTCGTCCATCCACAGTAGGAATGGACACCCCTGCCCCCAAGCTCCGCGCATCGATTTGCGGCTCGCCTGGCGAAGCTCGTTGGCGAGGCGCTGGGCGCTCTGCGCGGACTCCTGCAGCCGCACCTCCACCTCGCTTCGATTCGCCGAGTCGAAACGTTTTCGCCCCGCAAACATGAACAGAACCCAACAAAACAAGAATACAGCAACCCAATCATATCCCCCACCCCCCCTCAAATAATGTATATATATATATATATATAGAAAAACAATTAAAACAAAGAAAGATACAAAAGCACCAACAAAAGCAAAAAAGAAAAAGCAGAGCCAAGAACGGTGAAGCAACCCCCTTTCCCCTGCCTGGCGCTCGAGGTGCGGTCCTTGGACAGCGCTGGCCACTTCTCTCGGCTCCAAACGCGCGATCTGGGCCTCCAGCTGCCTCACGAAGAGTGTGGGGGGGGAAGGCGCCATAGGCGTTTTCGGCTTTTTGAAGGGAAGCCAAGAGGAAGGCCGAAGCCATGAATTGGGGGTTTTGACGAATCCCTGACCTTTTGGTGAAATCGATGGGTTTGGTAAATGGGACGAAGCTTGTCTAAACCAGAGGAACCCATCTATTTCAAATCAAAGCCGAACCTTTGCTGGGCACTGATTTAGCAGAACCGAACCCCTTGGGGGCTTGACCTAATAAAATGATTCCCGAAAAGGGCTTCGAAAAGTGAAAACATGGCTTCGAGCCTTGAAAAAGCTAAGCCTTTGGTCTGGCACTGGGGGTTCACATTCTTCACCCCCCATAGGACCGGTTTCTATACATCCGAAATCGACAAGAATGTGCTCACACCCAAACCCGAATTCGCCACCAAACGCTCCCATTTCCTCACTTGGTGGTGAGCTTTTGGGACCTGTACTACAAGTGGAAACCCAAAATGGAAACTGCCAAAAGGCCAGATCCGGTCGATTCGCCTACAACCAGTTTCCCTCGCTCAAGCCCACGAATTCAAATTGGGAAGGGGGCAGGTGCATGGCCCCTTCTGCCAAAAAAGCTGCCTTCCAAAAGGGGCCGTGCACCAAGCCCGATGTGGATCGGGCAAATCAAAAACAGACACACCCATACGGGCGTCCCTTGAAATAGGAGACCCCACAAAATGGTTGTGTTCCTCTTGGCTTTGTTTATGGCCACTCAAGGTGTCACCTCACCTGAACTAGGTTCTCCAGTAGAGAGGTTAGAATAAGTTGGCACATGTTGGCACCAACTTTTTTTTTCGGACTTGTCTAATTTAGTAGGGGAGCGCCCTCTTAACCCCCAAAAAAACGGGTGCCAAGAAACGGCACCAATTGCCGGGGGACTTGCCACGCATTGCCACGCCCAGTTCCGCCTCTGCAGGTCGCCGGTGGCCCGCTCCAGCTTCAGCTCCAGCGCCTGCAGCACCTCCTCGTTGCTCCTCGACACCGCGGCCGCGCTGGCGCCCGGCCGCGCTGCCTCCAGGTCCTGGAGACGCCTGGAAGCGTCGCCGGGAGCTCTCTGAAAAAGGTAGGTGGATTTTGAGGATTACTTTTTTTCAACAGAGTAACAAGCAAAACCACACGAGTTGGGTCTTTAGCTAAAGCCTTTTTTTTCTCTTTGCAGCAGCATTAGGTAAGTAATATGGAGCCTAGCCATATATTTGATGATGGATATTTTGCGATAGATCCGGGTGGCACGCCTCGCCGGGTTTGGTGGGGGTAGATGCCGTGGATACCCAATAAACTCCGTCGAGGTGCTGCTCCCAGCCCTCCAGGCGCTCCCAGACCGGCGCCAGCGCGTTCGCCAGGCGCTGCTCGAAGTTCTCCGCTTTCGGCGGCGGAAGCGCCGGGGGAAGCGCCGGGGGAGGCGACGGCAGCGGACGCTCCTGGCGAAGACTCGGCGCCGAAAGCCGAAATCCGCCGTGGAATCCGACGCTTCAGGTGAGTTACCCCAGGTCCGAGTCCCGAGCCCCGAGTCCCAAGTCCCGAGTCCGGAGTCCGGCTCCTGCCCAAGACCCGCTAGTTGCATAGTCAAGGGCAAAAAAGGAGAAGAGGCCAAAATGGGTGTGGGTCAAAGATAGGTACCCAAAATGGCTTGCCCTGGCAAATGGAAACAAAGACTCAAACCTGCGGTCCATTTCCTGGTTTAATTTTGACCCACACCCAAATGGTCCCAAACCCTGACCCAGCGAAGCATGCAAGAACCTCGGCCGGCGGATGCTCGCCTCCAGGCTCCGAACGCTGGCCTGCAGGCCCCGCACCGTGGCCTCCGCGCATGGAGTTTTTCACACCGTTACAGGGATGTTCGCCTCACTTCCCATCGAGTGGAAGAATAGTCCCAAACTTGTTGTTTGCCAACAAAAAATCGTATTCGAAAAAACTTAAAGTCCAGAATCTCAGGGAGTGAGTTAAAGGGGATGCTATCTTTTCTTCAGGGCCGGGATTGCCAAAGGGTCTGGTTTTTTTGTTTTCTGGGAATGTTTCCCGTTTTGTTTTCGGAGTGTTTCCCGGATTTTATGTCTTGGAACTGGCAGTGCAATCTCTCTTGGTTCGCTCGTTTTGCACCAGAGCTGTCAACATCCCCGGCATCGTTTTAACTCGGCAGCATCTTTTTCAACATCCTCAGGATCACGAGTTGGCTTTGTTAGGCTGGGTTTATGGTGTTTAGGGAAACTTTGGGGGTGGCTGCGCTTTAGGCGCTGGGATGGTTCAGTGCTGCTTTATGGTGGGCTTCCTGGGGTTGGTTTAGGGTGGGTTTAGGGCTGGTTTAGGGTGGGTTTAGAGTTGGTTTAGGCAGTGGTTGTGTTTAGGTGGGCTTAGGGTGGTTTGGGTTAGGTTCAGTGGTTTAGTGTTGGTTTGGTTTGTGTGGAGTTTGTTAAGGGTTGGTGTAGGGTGGGTATAGCGGGTGTAGTTTGGGTTGAGTGCTGGTTTAGCGGGGGTCAGGGATTGGTGTTGGGGTGCTTTGGGGTGGGTTTAGTGGAGGGTCGGGATTGGTATAGGGTTTGGACTTAGGGTTGGTTTTGGGTGGGGTAAGGGTGGATTTAAGAATTCACACAGAGTGGTTGGGGGTTTTGTTTAGAGATAGTCTATTACTGGTTTAGAGTGGGTTTGTTTAGAGTTTCTTTAGGGAGTCTTGCTGGTTTAAGGTTTCTTCAGGGTTTCTTTGGGGTGGGCAGTTCTTTCAGGATTTTAGTCTTGCCTTTTTTGAGGTCATCACAAAGCCAAATAACAGCCCTATAACAAAGCGGAGGGGGGGTTGGGGGGGGGGCAGCCCCCACCATCTAGAGAAACCTGGGAGGTAAGAAGCCAGCAACCCAAAATTCAAAAAACCAAAAGCCGGTGATGCTGGGGTGTTACTGGTGATGCTGAGGATGCGCAAAGCAGAAGCCACAAAAAAGTAAAGCCAAAAAGCAAAAAGCCAAAAGCCAAAATGCAAAAAAGCCAAAAAGCTAAGAAGCCAAAAGCCAAGAAACCAAGAAGCCAAGAAGCCAAAAAGGCCCAGACTCCAAGAAGCCAAAGCCAAGAAGCCTCAGAAGCCAGATAAGGTAAAATCCAGGAAAAAATCCCAAATGCCAAAGAGGTTGGCAATCCCCAAAGCCACACATGTTCCATGTCCAAACCGTGGCCACCGCGCGGAGATGTGCCTATGATTTGGAAAGGGAACCCCAACTGTTGGTTTCAAAAGGGGTTCCCCAGAAAAAAACCACCAGCCATTTTGGGTGGGGGTCCCCCCGAACCATTTGAACCAATGGAGACGTCGTTTTCCCCCTGCCTCCAAACTCCGCAGGCCTTCCAGGTTCCGCGCCAGTGTGGCGTCCTCCTTTTCCGAGGCTGCGGTTTGGGCTTCTCACTTCCCATCCAGATGGGCCTTAAAAAAGGAACACCTGGTTGTTTGCCTCTCGATTTTGTTTCCCAGGAAGCTTGAAGTCCAGGAACTCCGTGAGGTTTAGACTAACTCTCCAAATTGACGTTCAACCTGTTCTCAGTGGGACTTTTTGAGCATTAAAGTGACATGTTCAAAGTTAGCCTCTTAACGGTGGCGTACAGGAAAACCGCCTGAAAAATAACTTGCTGCTTCGATAGCAGGGCATGAGGATGACCCCGACCAAACAACCATCCCCGAGTGGTTTCCTTCAAGGGGATCCCTAGGTTCATTCCCAACACTCTGGCCCGCTTTAGCCATAAGCTTGAGCAACCCGGTTGTTTTGAACAACCCCCGCCCCCCCCCCCCCAAAAAAAAAAAAAAAAAAAACGCAAACAAACAGATGCAGCCCCCCCCCCAAAAAAAAAAAAAAAAAACAGGCAGATGCAGCCCCCCCACCAAAAAACAAAACAAAAAACAAAAAACAAAACGCAAGCAAACAGATGCAGCCCCCCCCTCCCACCAAAAAAAAAGAGCAAGCAAACAGATGCAGCCCCCCCTCCCACCAAAAAAAGAAGAAGCAAACAGATGCAGCCCCCCCCTCCCACCAAAAAAAAAGAGCAAGCAAACAGATGCAGCCCCCCCTCCCACCAAAAAAAGAAGAAGCAAACAGATGCAGCCCCCCCCTCCCACCAAAACAAAAGAGCAAGCAAACAGATGCAGCCCTCCCACCAAAAAAAGAAGAAGCAAACAGATGCAGCCCCCCTCCCACCAAAAAAAAAGAGCAAGCAAACAGATGCAGCCCCTCCCACCAAAAGAAGCAAACAGATGCAGCCCTCCCACCAAAAAAAGAAGGCAAACAGATGCCCCCCTCCCACCAAAAAAAAAGAGCAAGCAAACAGATGCAGCCCCCCCTCCCACCAAAAAAAGAAGAAGCAAACAGATGCAGCCCCCCCCCTCCCACCAAAAAAAAAGAGGAAGCAAACAGATGCAGCCCCCCCTCCCACCAAATCCAGAAGAAGCAAACAGATGCAGCCCCCCCCTCCCACCAAAAAAATAGAGCAAGCAAACAGATGCAGCCCCCCCTCCCACCAAAAAAAGAAGAAGCCCCCCCCCCACCAAACAGATGCAGCCCCCCCCCTCCCACCAAAAAAAAAGAGGAAGCAAACAGATGCAGCCCCCCCTCCCACCAAATCCAGAAGAAGCAAACAGATGCAGCCCCCCCCTCCCACCAAAAAAATAGAGCAAGCAAACAGATGCAGCCCCCCCCCCCCCCACTGAAGGACATATGGCAAGCCACCCCCCCAGCCGCCACTCGTCCCCAGTTTTTTCAGCCGCGGCTCCTCGCGCGAGGCCGCCACCGAGGCCTTCTCCGCCTTGGACTCCTCCAGCCGGGCCTGCTGCATCCGCAGCTCCGAGATCTGTCCTCGAGATCCGACGCGAAAACCGCTGGACACACCTAGGGAAAGATCTGGTCATTTGGATTTTTTTTTGGGTAAAGATCTGGTCTTTCTGGGCTTGGCCTGCTGCTGATAAACTGCTCATGTGGCGCAATGTAAAAAGAGGGGAAGTCCTGAATGCCCAGAAATTATGCGGGAAGTCCAGGAAGTCATAGAAACCACCAGGCCCCAGAAAGCTGCTGCAAGAAACGGTGAAGTGTCCTTCGCTTGTACCTTTTTTGGTGGTTCTTGAAGGGAAGCCAAAGGCAAAAACCCGCCCTTTTGGGGGTCCACATCCTACTAAGCCTAACCCTCCAGAACCTTCCCTGAAAGCTGCCCCGAAACAAGACCCCAAAGCTCATCAGCTGTTAGGAAACAAGAGACGGTATGTCCAGCAGTGATAGATTCCCTTTAAAACTACATTCTATTTACCCATGGGAAAACTGGCTACAAAAGAGGCCATACCCTTTCAGGATATGCAAGGCACCCTCCGAAGGAAATCTGCAGCCGGAAAGCTGGCGAGCGCCGTCAGCTCCTCACCCTGCTGCCTCGCGTTGGAACTCATGTTTTCATGGGAGGGGGGGTGGGGGCAACGGACGCAGGCGACTTAGAGGCGACATTGCCGGCCAGCAAACAGAACATTGCTGTGTGCCGTGCCTTTCTTTCAGGACAATTACTACGCCTTTTGGAATGGTTTTAAGGTAAACCCTCAAACTATCTGAAACACACACTACTTCAACAGGGGCAGAGTGCCATCCAATCCCAACGCTCGTTCCGAACGTCGGGGCGATAGAGCCCTAGATTTCAAGGACCAAGGAGGTAAGCTATTCAAGCACAGTGGAAATCTGGAAGTTCCTTGAGGGAACCTGGATGCCACCCCCACAAAGTGACAGAGAAGCAACCTTGGAAAGTGTGGTCCGCGCGGATGATGCCATACGGGATGATGCCGCGTGCGAATGCCTTTTGCATTTCAAGCAAGACTCCCCAGGAAGCAGGGGAGGTTCACATGAGGCGCTTTTGCCACTTCAACAGACCCGACGGCACCACCGCCGGAGAGAATTCGGCATATCATCTCCGGTGGATCCCGGACCCCGGTGCGGTGAGTCCTGCCCGGCAAGCCAGCAAGCATTTTCCGGTTTTCTCGCCAAAATTTGTCGACTTCGGATTAATCCACATGGCCTGCAGCAACCAAAAAGCTATTGAAGGGTCCCTCCCCGGCTTTTATTGAGGGCCCGCAATGGTGGGATCCTTCATTGCATTGAAGACCAATTTGGCGCTGCCCTCCTGGCAATACAGCACCGAACCAGCCCCTTTCCACGTCAGGAACTGACTGCAATGTTAGGTCTCCTTCCCCTCTTGCATGTTGAGCAGACATAGTAAACATGCACGTTCCTGTATCTTTAAAAAAAAATATGTATACAGATATATACATAACAAATACAATATGCATACAGCCATGGTTGCAACTGGGGCTACTTTTGTGCCCTTTGTGTTTCTTCTTTTTTTCCCATGGATGCAACCTTTCATTAAGCAAACCTACCCGCAAGCAAGGCGGCGTGCAGAAGGCCTCCTTCGAGTTCCCGTCTTTGAGCTCCGTGCTTGGGCTGGTGGGCGGGGGAGGCTGGGGGGAGGTGGAGGGGGTGGGTGAGGTCGATGTCTGCGTTTCGCAGCCCATTAAAAATGAACCAAGAGCGGTGAAGCTTCCCGGACTTCCCCTGCACAAGTTGATCAATCTACTGGTGGTTTCCCTTGAAAACCACTTTAGCAGGTTCCAAAAAAGGTGACATGGTGGAAACCCTGGGAGAGGTTGGTAAAACAACGGGCTCAAACATAGGCTTGGCCAAAATACCCCTCCAAGTAGCCAAAAATTGGAAAATGAGAACCTATTTCCAGTAGTGAAATCGATTCCAACTTTAAACCATCTTAAGAGAAAATTAACCGTCGAAACCCTGTTTTTCCAACCACAAACCTGCCACCAACTAAAAGGTGAAATGGAGGTCGGCCGCAAAGCGGCTTTCTGGTTCGAGCAACGCCTTTTTGCTTGGGCTAATTCTGGGGAAGTTTGGAGGTCCCCCAATATGTAGCTCCTCGCGCCTCCCTCGGCTCGGCCGATCCTCGCGCCTCAGCTCCTCGCGGCCGCGCCGCGCCGCGCGCTCGGCCTCGCCGGCGCTCGCGGCGTTGGCACCCGCCGCCTGCTGCAGCGCCAGCAGCAGGTCCCCGTGCTCCCGCTGGAGGTGATCCTGGATCCAGGTGTTGGGTTTTCCCCAACTAAATCACAAAAAAAAAAAAAAAACATTTGCTGAAGTCCCCTGGAAAAATAAGAAAAGGCTTCCAGTAGGGATAGATTCCCGTTAAACAAGAACGCAATGATTGTTTTCCGGGAACGCCATGCTGACTTCTGGCATCAAAGGCAGCAATTGAGGTGGTTCTACCACTCGCGGGGGGGGGGGGGGGGTGACTTTGATCATGGGCCCAGCGTTGCTCCCAAGTGAATCACCCTACCCCGAATTGCTGGTGTGGAGCCGAATCGGTGTTTTGGTGGTTCAGGCGTTAAACCCTCGACAAAAGCCAAGGCTTCAAATCCAAATCCAAACCACCAATCCAAGCCACCAATCAGGGGGTACCTCACAGCACTTGGCATAAGTATCCTCCCTTTTTAGGGGAAACGCAAGGGAAAATCGTGGGAAACCCAAGTAATAGCCCCAAATTGGCAGGTTTTCATGGTGATGCCCCTTCAAAGACAAAAAAAATGGGTCAAACCCGTCTTGCCCCTAATTCGCTAGGGTTGCTTGTCGGCCTTTTGATTTTTGTGGGTGTCGAAGTTTTTCGGCGTGACGGGGGTTCCAACTTTTTACCATGGAAAAGAACCAGCGATGCTGAAGCCCTCTGAACAGGGACGCCTGGTAGAATATGGGTGTGTTTTGCGCCCCGCTTTGCTATGGGTTCTAAGTGGAAGGCAAAACCAGGTCCTCCAGTAGAGAGGTTAGAACAAGAGTACCCTTTTTTCTGTAGTCTATTTTACTAGGGGAACCCTCCCAACCAAAAAAGGGGTGAGAAAGGGCACCTGGGCGACCTAGAATAGGAGGAGCACTGAATCCCTGCGATCGCTGCGATCCCGTGCTCCTCAAGCTGCCCTACTCGCTTGGAGCTCTGCTCCGCGAGGGGCGCCACGTACCTCGCGAGCTGTGAGCTTCAGCGGCGCTTCGAGAGCGGGGCCCACTTCATTGGGGCTGGGGCTGGAGGGGGGGGGGAGGGGGAGGGAGCCCAAATAAGCTCCATCAAGCCCTGAATAAGGCCTTATTTAGGGCCTTTTGAGGCTCCCTCCCCTCCCTCCCCACCCTCCCCATGCCCACTGAACTCTCCCATCCGCTGTCATTGGATCCAATAAGCCGCGTCGAACCAGGGTCACTGGATGTCCGGCGTTGGCTGAAACCAAGAGGACACCCAGTCTGTTTTTTTTGGGGGGCGGCTCTTGAATCTGACAGGGGTCGCTGGATTTCCCCAAGTCAAAAGTGTTTGTCAATTTACTGTCTCTTTTGGGGTTTCAGCCGCGCAGTTGCAGTATATGTGTGAAAAGGAGAAAGGAAGAAGAACTTGTTTTCCCTGTTTTCTGCGAGGAGGGGGGATCTGCAATATGGGAAAAGCAAAGGCGTGGCTTTCTGCGCAAAAAGGGGCGAGAAGTCCCTACAAGTTTTTCCAAGCCCAAAAAAGGGGCCCAATTGGAGGACAACCCACCCGTGTTCAATCAGGGAGACACAATGGGCCCGGGAATGATAGGGAGTGTTTCCCCAAACAGCAATGGGCCACTCTTGAAATACGGGTGTCTGAGTTACGCCGTCACCATTCTGTTGTATCAAACTCACCCCTAAGCAGGTTGAGGGGAACCAACTCCAGCGACTGACTTTGATTACCCCGAAAAACAACAACAAAAAAACAAACAAAAAAAAACGTGAAAATACGCCACCCCCGAAGTGGTTTAAGGGGGAAAAAACCCTCCAGCTCTTGATAACCCCGCAAAACCATCAAAATAAGTCACCCTAAGTGGGCTAAAGAAAAGCTTTCCTCCAGACTTTGACCCCGCAAAACCGTCCAAATCATGGCCCCAGGTTTCATCCATCCAAGCAGCTGCTGAAACTCCATCCGCAAGGCATCAGCCATCTGTTGAACCGCCTCTCGCGCACGCGCGTGCTGGGTTCCAGGACTGTGGGAAATGGAATCCACTTCTCTGATACAACCAAAAAAAAACCTTCACAAAGACTACCCCACCATAAAAAGGGGTGAGAATTCCCTGGTATCACAGAAGTGGTTGGACGAACCCCTTGATCCCACCCTGGTTGTTTCAGCTTTCTTCTTTGAAACACATGTTTTGTTCTCGCGTTCTGTCCTAATATGGGCGTCTTGTTTTAGAAAACTTGTTTTTTGGCTGGTTCTAAGAGAAAGCCAAAAGGACAACCACCAGTTTGGGCGGTACCCAAGAAAAGACAGACCCATATCGAGATCGGTGCCGGGCAAAAGAATCTCCTTTGGTTTGGACCAAATCCACTCCCTCCCAACAAACAAATACACCCAACAAGCACCTGCCTCTTGGACTCAATCAACACAGCGGGCACCTGTGATTTGATCATTGGCCCCAATGTGGGTATGTCTTCAACTTACCCCTTAAAACGCCAAGCCCTGGGGAAGTTAATCTTTTACAGACATATAGCCCATGTTACCCCCAAAAAGTTGAAAAGTTGTGTTTTTAAGAGGTATGTCAAATGGAGGGATCGACCCCACAAAGTGCTTGGCTTCCAGGTTTCCCTTCAAGCTATCCCAACAAAGACTAGCTCAACACCGCTGTCCTCAGAGATCATGGGTTCAATGGGGAGACCCACTCAGCCAACTAGAAACATCCCAAAAACAAACAAGTGGAACCGGACGCCTGGAAAACTCACCCATTCCAGACACATCCAAAAAGACCTACGGAACTAGGAACCAAGAAGAAGCAGAAGAAAACCCAACCACTAAACCAACTAAAAATACATCTAAAAGACAACAAGTGGGGGACCTCCAAAAAGACCCAAGGAGCTGCACGAACCTCCAAGAACCCGAAGCCCCAAACGCCCCAGCGCGCGCGGCCGTCGCGGCCGTCGCGGCCGTCGCTTCGCCTGGCGGCAGGCGGCGTCCACGTCCTCTCAGATCCCCAGTGGGGCAAAACGGCCCGGCGTCCAATTTGAATTTGGTTGGGTGAGAGGAAAAAGGGACGCCTTCCCGAAGAAAAGGCGAAGATTGGGCACCGGGCAACTGGGCGCCACGTCCCCGCGGAATTCCTCGTGTCTATAAAAACAAACTTGGACACCCCCAGCTCCGAGTCCCGGCTGCGAATTGGTTGGTTGAGTTTCAAGGAAAAAGGAAACATCTCTACTCTTGGCATGGTAGCGAAAAACTTTGTTTTTTGCAGACCCCCAGTAAAAATCTGAACAGAGAACCAAAAAACTCAAGAAAATGCCAAGGACAGTGAAGTTGTTGAAAAAAAAAAAGGCACTGGTTGCAACTGGGTCCTCCTCCGTGAGCGCCAGGCCCACCTCTGACTCCGCAGAGCCGAGGCGAGCGTCCAGCTTCTTCAGCTCCGACACCACCGCCTGGGTCGATCTGCTCAGCTTCCCAGGGTGTTATGGTTGGTTGTTCTCTTCTTGGTGTTTGTTGTGTTTGTTGTGATTGCTTTCATATTTGTCTTCTTCTTCTTCTTCTCCTTCTCCTTCTTCTTTTAAATGGAGCCCCGGCAGGTGCTGTTGTCTGTATTGTTGTTGTAAAAAATGGACCCCGAAAGGATGGTAGCTGTCCTTTTGGTCTCCCTGAAGTCCTCCCCTGACCGAAGGGTTCTCAGAACCTTTTTGGGCGGTGGGTGTGGGCCTGTGGATACCCTGAGCATTGCAAGGAATTCGGTGGCTGACTCTGGTCAACATTTGGGTCCCTCCGAATGGAAAAAACACAAAAACCCAGGTGATATGCAGTGATATGTTTGCATCTCGTTCCCTTTTAAGTGTCCAAATGGGGAACCCCTGAACAGGGATCCTTACATTATACACCTGAACATTGCAACTTGTAAATGGTGGTGTCCCTAAATTTTGGCGTTGAAAAAGCCACATGTTTCAACTGGTTGCAAAATGAATTTCTTTTAAGGAGCCCTGCCTCAAAAAGGGGACCAGCCCATTTCGGGACGCCATGCGTCCGGGCGTGGCTCACATGCTCGAGCCTCGAGCTCTGAGGTGAAGCGATCGTGCACCGACATCATGCTCTCGCTGACCATCTCCTGCGCGTCGATCCCCCGAATGAAACTGAGGCTGTGAAATCATACAGGGAGGCTGTGAAATCATACAGCTGTCGTAACAGAGCTGTACCTGGAGTCTCCATGACACTTTAAATATGGGGGCGTGCGTGGCCCCTTTATTTTGGTGAATGAGCAACCATCTTCAAAGGGCCATGGAGACTCCGGGTACCCACAGAGGAAACAAAGAAAAACGGAGGGACTGGCCCCTCTTCCATCTGTCTCTGAGTGGATTTCGAAGCGACCCCAGTCGGGAGGGCTGGATGTCCCAGACACCAAAGGCTTGGGGTCATGTCAAAAAGGGGCGGCTCATATTCCTTCACGGCTGCCGCTTGGGAAAAAAATCCGCATGGTGTGCTATTGAGCGCCCTTGGCACATGTGGACGAATCGATGACCTAGACGCTGAATCCCATGATATTTTGGGATTGTGTTCTGAACACAATCCCAAAATATCATGGTACCTGTCCAATTGAAGTGGACATGGGCTTTCCCAACGCCCATCAAAGTGACCCTCAAAATTTTCCGGGAAATAAACAGCCTACGCAGAGCCTACGCGGATGGAGGCAGTTCTGTTTTGAAAAATCCTGGCCTGAGTTTCCGACTAAAACGCGGCGATGCAAATCTCCCACTCCCTCATGTGGCCTCAGCCACTCCGAAGCGTGCGGCCTCAAAAATACACATATATCAGCCCAGGCGTGCTTACGCGGCCGCCTACGCAAGGCAAAAGCAAGCATTGGTGCACGTGAAATGCCTGTGCGAGCCTATGCCCCCAACCTGAATTGCCTATGCGAACATGATGCAGTTTTCTTTTTGCATTATAATCCCTTGATTCCAGAAAAACAACGCTGCCCAATTGGGGTTTCCCCCTTAGCTTCCTTGTCTCAAAATAGGCGAAGTCCCAAAATCGTGGTTGTTCTTCTGGTGTCCTTTCACACCAGCCCAAAAAGGGTCCCCTCAAAAGAAGACACCAATCCGGTGTGCTTTTTCGGGAGCCCCAAATAAAGGTACCCTTTTGGCCTCCCCCCTCCCACCTCCCCCCCCCCCCCCAAAAAAAAAAAAAAAGGCACTGCATGTATCTGCATGTGTTCTCGTGCATGTTCTTTCGCGCTAACTGGCTGTGCGATAAGGCTGGCGACACCGGAAGAGCCCTTCGCAAGGCATTTTCGGGGGGGGGGGGGGGGAAACACAACGCCAACCCGATGCCAACGCCTCCCCCCCCCCCCCCCGGAAACCCCTTCAACCGGTTCCCAACCCCCCCCCCTTCCCACCAACCCCCCCCCCAAAAAAAAAACTCCAAACAACGACCCCCCCCCAAACAAAAACAACAACAACAACGAAACCACAAAAACAAAAACAGCAAAACACTGCAAGAAAGACAGCTGAGCACCGAACAAAACACCTGACAAACCGAGGTCCGCTTCGCCGCATCGCGAAGCTCGCCTCGCCTGGAGCTTCTCCACGTCCCGGCTGAGCCGGAGGTCGAGGCCTGCCACCCGCTCCTGCCGGATGAGGCGAGGCGCGCCGGAGGCGCGGAGGCGGAGGCGGAGGCGGTGCAACTCCGAAACGTCGGCTGTGAGCCGAAGTATGGGAAAACAGCTTCTCTTGAGGGCAACTGAGAAAAAAGAGGGAGAAAGGGAAGGTGCTTCGTTTTGCCCGGAAGGTCGTGATATCCAGCTTTTGTGCGCCAACAGCCACTACCCGAAATCCTTTTGGGGGCGATTCGCTCACCAAAAAGACCAATCAGGTAGGAACCCACTATACATATATAGTGTATATACGTATGTACAAACAAAAAAAACATAAAGCGAGAGAGAGAGAGAGAGAGGGATTGTGGGGGTGTCCCTGTTTTTGAGAAACAACGAATACTTCACCCCCTTGTTTTCGAACAAAAATCAGCCACTTCAGCCATTGATGCTCCCCTGAAAAACAGGTGATGCATAAAACTCAAAAGAAACACGGCCCCACTCTTCGAACGCGAAAAACAAGAGATCATCTCCAACACTGCCGCCTCGGGGAGGTCGAATGGGTTGAAAGGAAACCCTTGATGTTTCTCAGAAACGGCGCGGACAGGGCGACCCTGGAGTCTTTAAAGGTCGTCGACCTGTATGGAGAAGCCATGTCATGCGCGCCGGGATTACAAGGATTCGAGTCGCCCGAAATCGTAGCCACGGTAGCTCGGAAGAACCAGCGCAGGTGTCCCCTGGCAAAATCTAAGACGTCCAGCACCCCCTGACCACTGCTTACTGGACACTTGGGATTTTGGACATGGGAGCAAGACTTGTCAAGACCCACCCGGCAAGGCGCCTCCAGGCGCCGCAGTTCCGCACTGCCTTGCAGCTCCTGCTTCTCCGCCTGAACGGGTCAGGGGTTGGGATAGGTTGCTCCCATGTGAGAATGTTCTACATATATATATATATATATGTGTGTGTATGCTGTGAATATGAATATGTATATATATATATATATATATGTACATATGGTCGGGCCTGCGAGGGGGACAAAGAACCGTGTCGTTTTGCTGGTTCGGTGATCAATTGGTGCCGACCCCAAACTGATCCATCCCAAAGACAACCCCGGCCACAAAAAAAGACATGGCCCCAAGTTTCCAAACTTGTAAAAAATAAACAAACACACAATCGTGGAACTTGTGGCTTTGAAGGGTCAGAGGCACCCCCCCCAGCCACCCGCCACCCATCCAAATCAAGAACAAGAAGCAACAGGAAACAAAGAAAACACAAAACAAGCTCAAAGAACAACAAAACAAACAACGCAAACGGATCCAAACAGACAGCAAACAAACACAAACACATGCATCCACAAACCAAACACACACACACACACGCACAAAATCAAATATCCCAACTCGCAACAAAAAAACAACATTCCACCAACCAACACGCCAACAAACAGATCAAACAAACAAAACAAAAAGAACCTGTACAACCTTTGAAATATTAAAACGAAACTCGCTGCTTTTTGCAACCCCACTAAAAGGATAAACAACAAAAAATGAACAGAGCCAAACAAAAAGAGAAACACCATCACCCCTAAACACGGCATCAACAACAATCTACAAACAATGTAGCCCCCAAAGAACTATAAACACAATAACTTCAAAGAAGCAAGCACAAACAAATACATTAAAATAATTGGCAAGAACCCGCGGAACAGACCGCCCCAGCCGACCCAAGCCCAAGCCGACTTGGCGAATCGCTCGCCTGGCGTAGCTCCGCGAGGCGACTGTCCAGGGCCTCGCCCAGGCGCCGCATCTCCTTCCGGCGAGAGACGACGCGGCGAGGGAGGCGGACGTGCGGCGAGAGACGGCGGGGGGCGTGGCATGGCTCGATTTTGTTGGGACTTGAAAAGAGCCTAGACGATCCACCTCGCCGATTTCAAAAACTGAGAAAAACAGGGGGCGCAACCTAGAAATATGGTTGAACTTGACAAGGGGAGACACGAAAGGTGGGATACCGCAATTATAGGGTTCCCTGAACAATGGAACGTCCCCGAGACAAAGTCTGGAGGTGTTGGTGCTAAAACTGAGGTACCCCCAGCACCTATAATTGTGCATAGCTCACTATGAAGCAGACGTGCACTGAGTGTCCCATATCAACTTCGGAACAAGCCACGACTCTGGGAGGAACAGCCTCGAAACGCAAGAGCACGGTGCGAAAAGCGGACCGAAGTGCGAAGCGAGCGAACAAGAGCGGCGAGGCCGAGAAGCTGCCAAGCAGGCAGGGCCAGAGGGCGGACCAGGGGGAAGTCAAAGGGGTGAGGGCGGGGCTCGCGGGGGGGGGGGCCGATATTTCGTTGGTTTTGCGGCCGTGCTGACTCCCAGACCCCTTGCCAACGCAAGGACAAACTCAAGCTAGCCTCCTTGAGGCCTTTCCTGACATTTGTTTTCTTGGTTAAGGGTAGTTTGAGGAAATGCCCAGGTGCACAACTCAAGAGTTCATGGCCAAAAAAGCCGCAGAGTCTGCAAGGAGGGTGGCTCAAGCTGGATTCCGTGATAAACACATAATACATATGTGTATATACAGGCCCCAGCAAAAACTGTATGTGTTTTATGTATTTTTTGCCTGATTGGCAGAACAACAAATGACAAAGGGGAGCTAATTCGAGGGTATATGCACATGCATACAAACCAAGCTTGCTCCAAAGACCTTGTCAAGGGTAGCACGTGCCAAAGTTCGCCCCTTCTGGCCGTCTCTTTGTTTTAGGCCCACAAAATGGCACGGTTGTCCTCTTCCGCCAAAAAAAAAAACGGGGGAGAAAAAAACGGGGCACCGACTCCCCCCCCAAAAAAAAAAACAAATCGGCCACGGGGTCGTCAGTCGTTCGGCCGCCCGGCTGCTCCTGCACCTGCGCTTCGAACCCCGGGGACTGCGCGAAGGACCGCAGGTCCTGCAAGACCTCGTCGGCGAGGCAGGCCCGGCTTTTTCGGCGCGCTCGGAGACGGTTGTTCGCGCGGCGCCCGGTCGGAACTCAGCGGCCTTTTAAAGGGGACCCAGGAAAAACAAGTGCTAACCTTTTGTGGAAAACCACGGGCAAGATAGGAGAAGATCCGAAAAGGGGAAACCATAAAAAACAAAAGGTCAGCCTTGGGCAATTGAGAAAAGGGGAGCACTGTACTTCAAAACAAGCCCTGGTGTCTTGTTTGAGCGGGTTCCTCTTTCTTGCGGCCTTTAATCCGGTTCTCTTTGCAAGGAGGGATCCCTTACTTTGTCCTTTCATCGGGTTCTCTTTGCAAGTAACTTGCCCAGAGTTTTGGGGAGGGAGCATGGGGGGGGGTCCTTCTTGCAGCGGGCGCAAAAAGGGGACGAACTTGGAAGCGCAGAATTGCCAAATGGATGCTTTTTGAAGCCATGCTGAAAATCAGATTTACCGCCCCATTTAAAGGATCCCGACAGTGAAACATTGTGGTTTTGGGCTGAATCTTTTCCTGGATCCGGTCGTGTCTGTTTTCTCAGGTACCCCGAATCGGGGGTCTTCTCCAAACCTTTTGGGTACCTTTCTTTCTGTTGGTTCCCTTTTTGGGCATCCTCCTACCAACATGGAAACAGACTGAGAAAATGTCTTTGGCACAGCTCCTGTACCTTACGCAAACCACAAAAAAGTTCAACTGGCGGGCTACCAAAAAAAAAGAAAACGAAAAAATGGGACGACGGGGCATCGCCGAGATACATTCGACATGTCCCGTACACGGGAAACAATGCAAGTTTTCTGTTGGTGGGGTGATGCTCTGGCCAAGAGGCTGAATCAAAAGCTGAACCTGGGGCTACGGACCAAAGAAGGCACCTATATAAGCTCGGTTGCTTTCTGATCCCCCTGCTAAAAGTTTAACTTTTAGTGGCTTAGCACGGAAAACCCGACTTAGTTGGATCAAAAAGTTGTTCAGTCCTGACAGCCCTGGGCAAAATGCACCAAAGTAAAGAGGGCCGATTCGCGAACCAGAAAGCCAGCTCGCTTTGGGCTTTTCAACTTCCCACCCATTTCCCAAGCCTTGCCAACCCATTTCCCCACCGGACAAAAATCCGACCTGGGCTCTAAAAAAGCCGCCCCTTCCATCCTGGAACCGGGTCCCGAACGTCAGGTCCCATGTTACTTGGTGGGAGGGTATAATGTAGCCCAGACCCGTGAAATACTGTGGATGGACGAAATCCTGCACCACTATTTACAGGGGAATCATCATTCCAGGGTTTCTTAGGTGGTGCAGGATTTCGTCCATCCACAGTATGCATGCCTTTTTCAGGATGCCCTCCTTGTCTTTCGGATTTTGAAAGGACAAACCAAAGAAAACCGAAGCGATTCTGGACGTTCCCTGAAAAAGTCTCGCCCATACGCATTGGATGAAAGACATGGCGCAATTCTATCACTTGGGCTTAGTCATCACCTGTACTTACTCACATTTCGGGAATGGTGCCGTCTACTAAAGGGTCGAACAATTGAGCAGTACCCTTCCCTACTTGAAAGTTCAACCCGCTCAAGTGGGTCATAACTTAACCATGGTAAGGGAGCTAATTCTAACCATGGTGAGAAAAGCTCCTGACGTTGGGCTCATCACCCTCCCGCCTTTCGTAGGGTCTAGTATTGAAAAGCAACTTCATTCGTTCCACTCGATGTTTCTGATATGAAAAAGCCATCCTCCCGCCTGTAGTATGGTTGAATCTGGACTCCTGACGTGAAATGATTGTCATTTCAGTTGCTCCACAGGAAAAAAAGAAGAAAAACAACTGAAGAGGCGTTTGGGGCTTCACACCGGTCAAACCCAATCAATCGTTTTTTTTTACCGTCGGTACCTACCTCGGAGTGCATCGAGCTCAGCAGGACCGCCACCTGAGTGAGCGAAGGTGTGGGGCTCTTGGTGCCACAATCCGCCCATTGGGCGAGCCTTCCACCAAAAGTTGATCTGTGGATGTGGGGGGGGGAAGCTTCAAGGTTCAAGTTGGCAAGACTTGATTTTTACCACAGAAATGGTCCCAACCCAAGTTCAAACAAATTCGCGGAGTGAGACAAGGTCGTAACTTACCTTCATGTGGCGCCTCGAGGGTCAAAGTGACTGAAAACACCCCCAACACTTTCAGGAACCCTTAAGCACACGCAGAGTTGCACAATGAGGGAATCACCCCTACCATCTCTAGGTCTGCACCTGTCCCTTTTGAACTTTTGTGCAATAGATGCGAGTCCTCTCACTGGACTGGGTTTGGCTGCTCATCAGAAGTTCAACGCACCAAATGAAGACAACAAATCCAAGTCCAACAAATTGCTCGTCATTCCCCCCTTGTGGCTTCAAAACTTGTCTCGCTTCCGATCTTCCGAGCACCTGAGCTTGCTGCATGGCCCTGCCTTGTCCACCAGGCTGTCCATCTGCTGCTGCTGCGCTTGCACGGTGGCGCGCAGGTCGCAGATCCCGGTGCCCAGCCAAGTGCCGGCGCCCCCCAGCGCCAGCTGCTGCAGCTGCTGCGGGCGGTCCTCCCCTTCCACGGAGAGTTGGGGGGGCCGTCTCTTCAGGGCTTCCCCTGAAAACATCGCCACCAAGGGGCGCTCAACTTTCATGCTCGCCAAGAAGCTGGTGTGCGATGTTTAAAGCCACACAAAAATATCGAAATCGACGCCTGTACTTTCCCCCAGTTCGTTCCCCTGAAACTTGCTGGTGCGATAGGTAGGCCCGGAAGCCCCTTGAAGGAAACCACCAGTTGGATGGGTCATAAAAGTCATTCCATCATTCCCTGTGCACCAGCAAGTAAAACATGCCAAGCAACGCTGACCTTTCATGGTTGCCAAAAAGGTGATGTCTAGGGAAATATCGGAATCGAACCCTTTTTGTTTCCCTTTAGATGTTTGCTTTCCACTCTTTTTCGAACAATCATGGAAGCTGTCAGGCCGAGGGAGCTGACAGAAGGGTTTTGGGACCCTCCCCTGGAAAAAGGGAACCCTCTTGTTTGGCTCTCAATTGCCCAACGCTAGAGATTAAAGCTTAGATCGAGGGCTTCGCAAAAATGGGCGGACCTGTTTAGGCGGCTCAAAGTGCGGCTGACAGGAAACAACCCGTTTTGGGTTTGAGCAACACCGAGACAACAACCCAAAGGTGCTTCCAGGCAAGCCACTCAGTAAGTAACCAGGCATTTTTCCTTGGATTGTAATAATGGCCTTCCCTGGTAACTGAAATCACTGAATGCAAAAACGCGAGCGTCTGATCCGTCCGATTGCTCCAACTCGACCTCCTTGCTTGACGCTTAGAGGCTCCATGTATGTTCCCCCCATTCGTGCTTTACAATCAGGAAGTCCCAAAAGGGCCAAAAAAAACATAATGGGCTGCACTGCCTTCCTACCCCTCTCACCCCTTCCTCAAATTATAGTGGTCTGAACAATAAAGAATCGCCCATCACCTCGTGGCGCTCATTCAACTCCTGGAAATTGAGAGTGTCGACCCTGGACTAATAAACCGGGTTAACTCATGGCATCGTTCCCCCCAGGCGAGGAATCCAAGCTTTCAAACGGGGCCACCCCCCTATTCTTGATTGACGTTGGAAGGGGGGCAAAAATCCAAATTTTAGCAGTTAGGTGGGGGGTTTCAACCACGAAACCACAATAAGCAACAATGTAAAATGTTTCCCAACACCAACCATGTATTGATCCACCGTCCTGCCTGAAATAAGGTGGTTGGGGGGCCATTCCCCACATAAACCACCATTTGGTGTGAGTTCGGTCGTGTGAGGTACGCCTGGAGAAAACTACGATCTTCCAGCTCGTGGGAGGAAGGGTATGAGCTTCCGGTCATTTTCCCCAAAACTCCCCGCCCAAGCCGCGGCACCGTTCGCTCGCATCCCCGTGGACCGCAGGGAGGGGCTGCGCTGCTTCAGCGGCTGCACCAGAGACATCGCCGAGGACATGGAGGGCATCGCTCGCTCGATCGTTGTGGATGCGCGCGTTTTGCGACCCGGGGAACCTTCCATGTCTCAGATGCCCAGTGACCAGGGGGAAAAAGAATCGGCATCCTTTTTTTTGGCTGGGAGGGAAGCCTTCCCAAACAAAAAGCAAAAAGGGCACCGCTGGGCAACTACTTTGACGAAGGCAATGATTTCTCTCAGCAGTTGTGAGAGAGCTTTCATTGGACCCCACTTTCTCCGAACGCCTTTTCATGATGCCTCAGCTTCACTGCTTTGCGGCATGGCTGATTTCCCTGCTTCTTCGGGCACATGCAGGTCACTCACAAACCAGACTGAAGGAATCCCCCAAACAGCAACCTTCCTGGGCTCCTTGCAGATATTGTGATTAATTAACAGCTGCAGTCCGGCGCGGGGCGCGTCACGCGTGGCACACCCAGTTGTCCAAGTGGCGATGGCACGTCAAGGACGGGGGTCCTTAAGCGTCCGCTGCAAAAAAAACACATCACCCCGACCAAAGAAAATGCACTCACAAATGGACAATGGGATGATTCAGCTCCTCCCTAGTTGGTGGCTTGGATTGGTGGGGTGATTTCCCATTTACCCTCTACAAGAACCAGGGGTGCAAATCCCTAAGTCACCTGTTAAGCGCTACCTGGGTGTGGGTCAATATTCTGGCGTGGAACGTTCCGCGGCGACGCAGACGTCTGGAACGAGTCAGTTGTGTAAGGTTGGTTGTTCCGGACCTCTGGGAAGACACGCGTAGAGTCCTCAAGCACACGTTCATTTAGTGTAAGATGGATAGATGGATGGATGAATGGATAGATGGGTAGATGGAGGGAGGAAGCGTCCAGGGGCGCGCAGCCTTACGATGCGGCACCTCCCCCGCCATCGTTGCCACCCTCGCGCCATTGGGCACCGATCTGTAGTCAGGCCCGCCACCCGCGCCAGCCGATGCACAAGGCTGGGAGGCATAAGCCGATGTCCACCGATACACCAGCCAATGTACATGTCCAGGGCATCCTTCAAAGACTTCTTTGGCCTCTCCAAAGCCCTGGCGCAAGTCGTCCTTGAAGGCTTCTTGGGCGGCGGGCCGTAAGAAGCGCAGCTACTTGCCGTTCCCAGTGCCACCAAACAATACGGCCAAGTAGCTACCCAAAGCCAATGCACAACACATGGCCTTAGAGAGTTCTGGAAACAAAAAGTGATCACCCTTTTGGACCCTTGACTGAGGACATGGAAAACCAAAAGGTCAAAAGGTCGATTCGCTTTGGACAAGTGAGAAATATCTTCAGATTCTCTTCCGTACTGTGGATGGATGAAATCCGTTCGCACCACTTTGAAACCATGGTTGAAACCATTGTCAGACATGGGAATCAAATTATTCCGGGGTTTCTGAACAGTGCCGCGAAACGGCTTTCGTCCAATGGGTGCGTCTTGGAATAGGAGAACGCCACAAAACAAGTATCCCTCAAAAAAGGAAAGAACCAGATTCAGCCTTGGGTGCTGTAGATCTCCCAGCAAAAAGCTTAATGATTTGCTGGCTTTATTGGAAGTATAAGGGGAATCCGAAAAGCTAAAGTCTAAAGATCCAACCCAATAGCGGTAGAGCAGCCGACCCAAAAAAATAATAAAGTCGTCTTGGAGGAGACCAGAGCCCTCCCTTCCATTTGCCAAAGTTCGTCCCCTGAAAAACCACCGAACAAAAAGGTACTGGTCCGGGAACGACAGATGCCCGGGACCGCCCGTTGCAAGGATAAAGGACCCAGAAATGAAAGGCGAACCCTTTCTAGGTCCTCCCGTAGAGAGGTTAATAAGGGTATCCTTCTGTGTGTAGTCTATTTTAGTAGGGGAACCCTCCCCCAAAAAAAAAGAGAGTAAAAAGGCACCAATTGCTGGGGGGACCAGCTACGGAGCAAACAAACCGCTTCCCGGCCGGCCTGCGGCTCCGACTCCTGGAGCACCCAGCAACTCGCCGTTGTTGTTTTTTTCCGGTTTTTGGTGTTCCGTTGGATTTAGGAAGGGGCACCCTTTGTTTCGTCGGGTTTCAAAGGGGGGGTTCTCTTCTGCTCCTCACAAAACAGCAAACATCCGGATGCATGAAACACACCTGAACATTGCCTTGCCTTGTAAATTGTGTGTTTTGTTAGTATTATTTATTTTGGTGTTGAAAAAGCAACATGTTTCAACTGGTTGCAAAATGTATCTTTTAAGGAGCCCTGAACAGGCACCTGTGCTTTCTTGGGCCAGCTGATTTTCCCCCTCCAAGCCCAAAAGCGGAATTCCAACGGACCGGGCCCTCCCAGAGCCAAGGCCCAGCTTCCGTATGCCTATGCGCCTGACTACCCGCCTGCCAAATCAAACCAAAGCACGGTGGATGGACGAAAACCGTTCGCACCACTTGAAACCATGGGAAGCAACATATTTACAGGGGAATCGAATCATTCCAGGATTTTTGACTAGTGGTGCCAAATAGATCCAAATAGACTTCGCAACCATCCACCATAGGAGTCGGAGATCAAAATTGGGGGGCCCCTTCTACATGTGGATCCTTCATGAGGTCCACCCCTCCTATTGATCTTGGCTTGTACCTTTCAGGCTCCAAAGTGAGCCCAAGGATTACGGACCTTTGAACAGCCCCAGCCAAAACTCGCTTGGACAGTGGGCTTTGGCAGCTTGGGCAGGACTTAGAAATACAAATCACTTCCGATCGAGCGGATGGCAACCAAAAACGGTCACCAACCTTGTGCGCCATTCAACAATATTCCAAGCCCAAAAAGTGACTAAAGTCCAATGGACAACAAACCCATAAAAAGTGACTAAAGTCCAGTTGAACTCCGGAAGTGAGTTAGCGCATAAAGACAGAAGACAAACAAACAAACAAACAAACAAACAAACAAACAAACATCAAAACTAAGAATGAGAGTCAACCAAACAAACAAGCAACAAGGACCACACCTAGAGAGCTGGAACCCGGTCACCAAATATGTCACCTTCCCCTTGGCATAGGTGGCCTTTTGGAAAAATAGATGGCCCTGGTAAATGGAATAAACCCCATCTAAACCAGGAATCGCCCTCTATCTTCTAAGCAAACCAACCAAAAAGGACACTTATGCCCCTTCGCCTCACTCCGGGCTTTGTCGGCATCAGACACCGAGACGCCTGGCCGGAGAAGCTGAGCGTAGGATCCCCCCCCTGCATGGGGGGGGGCGGTGGGGAGCCCGGGACCCAACTCCATTGACCCAGTCTTCCCTGAAAAGGAAAATGGGTTTCCAGAAGTGGAGATCTCCAGGGGTGGAAATCCCCCCTCCCCCAATCCATTTTTTGACCTGGATCGCTAGTTGCTAGTTTTTTGCCAGTCACTGTGCTGACGTTCAAACAAAGTGTGTCTGGAAAAGCGAACGGAACTTGGCTATCTAGGTAAACACTTTGAATGAAGAAACCTGCAGCAAACAAACTCGAGCATACCATTTCAACAAGGGTCCGGGGGCATCAGGGACGCAGTTGTCTCTGGGCCCTTTCTGAAAGAGTCACCCAGGTTTGATAAGTGCCTCAACTCACTCGACTTGCTCTCTTGGGGAGATCCGCTCAAAAGAGCGGATCTAACAGCATCGATCACAAAGGGCTGGCGATTGGAAGGGGCAATCCATGTTACGTCCTAGGGTTCACGACCTGGATCCCCAGTTGTTTTTGCCCCTGCAAACTCAGCAAGGTGCCCGGAAGAAAGCGAACGCAACTTGGCTACCCAGGAAGCTTCTGAACATCTGGCACCCCTGCACCTCACCAAGGCAAATCGCCCATCAGATCACTCAGACAAGTGAAAGTGCGGGGTAAAGCAGCGCCAAAACTTAGTCCTGCCCACCCAACACCTAGGATTTTGAATCTTGTCCACCATCATTTGCGTCAACTCAATTGCCCTTTAGCGACCCGGAAATGAAAGGGTTCACCTTTTTGGTTCCTTGACTGACAATGACCAGAAAACGGGGATGGCTTTGGCAACACACACACACACACACATTGTCCGCCATCATCTCCGTGGGCCGACAAAACTCAGATGCCCAGTGGCCATGGGAGGAAAAGGGCATCCTTTTTGTTTGGTTGGTTGACTTTAAAGGGGAATCCTTCCCCAACAAAAATCGTTGAACAAAGGGCACCACTGGGCAACTGGGAAAAAGCCGCTGAGGGCGCAGGCTCGTTTTGGGCGCCGGCGAAATCGAATTCGGGCGAATTCGGGCGACGCCAGCTCCGGCGCCTGCCGCGCAGGAGGCCCGGAGCCCGGAGCTGCCTGGGGCGACGTTGGCGTGCTCGGTTTTGTCTATTTTAGTAAGGGGTTTCCCTCCCTCCCAGAAAAAGGGAAAAGGGCACCTCGCTGGGGGACCTAGTTGGGGCCGCAGGGAAAAGAGCATCTCTGTCGCCCTCTCTCGCTCTCGCTTCTCTCTCTCTCTCTCTCTCTCTTTCTCTCTCTGCTGCTGTCTGAGTGTCTGAGCTCTGTGCCGGCTCGCTGCGTGAAACCGCAACAAAACTCTCAGCAAAAACCACGTCCCGGAGAGCAGTGGGAAAAACACAGGGGCAGCCCGTGCTTTTAGCAGATCCCCCGCGCCAAAAACACCTCGTTTTTGTTTCAAGGGTAACACGGAAATCCAGATCCTAAAAGAGCCAGGCCGCGGAAAATAGCCGTACTAAAACTGCCAGACCACGGGAAAACCAGGTTTGTAAAAACATGCCCTTAAAAAAAAAAGTCGTTGGAGGAAGCACCTTCTCAGCCCCCTGAAGCACTCTCGGATGGGTTGGATTGAATTGCGCTTGGCTTCAAAATTGTTGTAGTACGTCAGCCTCGGATTAATCCGGGGAGCGTACACATCTGGGGTGCTTCCATTGTACTAAGGCACTAGTCCGTCCGTCTTCTTGCTCTTGCTTTTGGGGGGCCTCTGGCTACTTAGGGTAAGATTCCCCGAATTCTTCGGGGGGCAATTGAGCTTTTGAGACGGCCCCACGTGTATATGTAATAATATATATATATATATATTCATCCATAAATAAAAAGATTCGTTCCGTAGTGTCTATATACAAGGTTTCTCTGA